CCTTAACCTTGCCCATCAACGGACGATAAAAGATTCTTCTGGTACAGATAGTCCTCCATCTGTGACTTTCAGTAGGTGAAGTCTGACCCGTCAAACTTCTCAATCTTCGATTTTCTTTCCTCTGTCATGGCTCTCGCACAAATCTTCTGAACCTAGCTCTGATACCAGTTGTTGGGGATTCAAAACAATCAATCAAACCCGTGCCCTTACGGATCTTGTGCTAAGAGTTTAACAAGTAGGAAAATCACCGCAAATAACAGAAAAATTGCAGGAAAGATAAACAAGAAGGAGCACACCAGATTTAACGAGGTTCGGGAAACGTGCCTATGTCCTTGGGAGCCACACCACACAATTCTTTTGATTAATTGAAGAAGAGTATAATACCCACAAATATGTTTTTATCTCTCTAAGATTTCTCTGAAAGAATCCGCTCAAACCCTCTTTTTTGGTGTTCTACAAACCCTAAGAACATATTAAGATTTGTATAGTATCATGGCCTAAAATAATTTCCCAAACGAATCAGGAAACTGGGAAAACTGATTCCGGTCGACCGAACCATGTGTGTTGGTCGACTGGCTAGAACACAGTTTCTTACAGGGTCTTCGTGCATGTTTTCGATCGATCGGATCAAGGCCTTCGGTCGACTGACAACACAGCTTCGGTCGACCGGCCAGAGTGTGTTCCTGAGCTCGTTTTCTGCAGTCTCTTCGGTTGACCAGATCTCCTCCGTCGGTCGAACGACTTGAGATTTTTCAGACTGGCATTTTTGTTTCATGTTTCGTTCTTCACATGACCAAAACCAATATTTATCATACAGTTTCTCTCTTTTTCTATTCCCTACTTTAAATAAGCACAAATCTTGGTGCATTTCTCTTCTGCTAGTAGTCTATCCAAGCATAATTAGTTCTATTACACTCCCTCTCTTTCCACTCCGTCCCTTCGAGATACTATAATCTATCCCCTCCTCTTCTCTTTTTTTATCCAACCTCACTGTAGAATCTATACTGAAACTGAAACATGCGTCATATTCCACCTCCTTCCTACATAGTTTTCTACACGCATTTCTACAAAGGGCCCTTGAATATTTCCCCCCTTCCAATTCTTGTGAGAAATTTGAGAAGCAAAGAGATGAGAGAGAGAGAGAGAGAGAGAGAGAGAGAGAGAGACAATCTCTGTCATAAAACAAGATGAAGGACAAGGACATGAGCAAGAACGAGAAGAAGCCGTGTGAGACTCAAAGAGAGTGATAGGCTTTGAAGGGTTTTAAGGATCTAACAAAGAAAGAAAGAAAGAAAGAAACGTACTAAATCTTCTCAGCTTCAAGTATTACTACTAATAAAAGAGAGAGGGCTCCTAGTTTTGGAGTTTTTGTGCAAGTCCTCCTCAAGCTAGTTTTTGTACTCAAGTCAGGTGAAATTCTCTCACTACCTCACTCATCCTTTTCTTCCTTCGTTTTTTCTTGATCTTTTATACATATTCATCACCTGCATATGTTAGTAATATTACCTAGAAACTAATAATGGTAAGTCTAATTATTATTGTTTGTCACCTACTAACCATGA